TCTATCTCTTTCTTTCTTTCACTCTTTCCTTCTCTGTCCCACTCTTTTCCTCTTTGTCGTATTTCCTCTCTGCTACTCTGCTACGGAGACTCTCGTTTCGATCCTGCAATCGTGACGTCAGAACGGATACCTGTTGCATGCGACGTGTTACGTGAAGAACACGTGCATGTATGTGTGTGTGTGTATATATATGTGTCGTGTTCTACGCTTTACGTGTATACATTGGGAGGAGTTGAAAAAGGATAGAATGATTGTACGTTCTTTACTATGTGACAAAGTAGTAGGAAAAAGATGTAGAGATGACATTTAAACGTCACGTGGACGAATTAAAATACTGCAAATTTCTTCGAACTCACTTTCATTGTCAGATTTAAACAAACGACAATTAACAGAAAAAAGGGCGTATGTTTTTCTACATTTCTTTTTTAAATATTTAAAAATTAAATTAACAAATAAAGATATATTAACAATGATTTATTTTGATCTCTTTTTCTATTTAGTATTCTGATTGGTATATATCATTCATATAAATTAAAAGAAAAAAACTGATTTTAATCTTACTGATTAAAATATAATCACGCTACTTCCTAATTAATGAATGAAAGAAAAAAAAAGGGAAAGAACTATCAATGAAATTCCTAGTCTAATTGACAATACTGCCACTACCATTCTTATATTAATATTTCAACGATTAAAAACAACAATTACACAATGTAACGTACAATCATTGCGACCTGCAACGACGAGTTTGAAACGTAATATTAAAAAGGAGTTTTGGTTGAAGAATCGAATGGAATTGCAGGAAATAAAAAAAAAAAAAAACAAAAAAAATATCCCCATATCTCATGAAAATTCTTTCATCTTGTTTGAAATTTCGTGATAGACCGTAAGAGTGGCAAGCTTTTCGAAAATTTCATTATAATTTTAACACATGGGGAACACACATTTTGACAGAGACAGAATGATACATATAGATGAATATACCAAAAACAAGAGAGAAAGATATGTATGAAAATGGGAAAGAGTGAAGGGGATGTGACGGGGGTGTAGTAGGAGAAGGGGAAAGGGGTTAGGAAACGCGATGCATTTAATGGAAGATCAAAGATACGTCTCACCCGCTAGAGATCGCGGTAACACACGCGTCAACGATTCATGCCACACGTATTTTCCCCTGGAATCCTGTTACCGATTGAATTCGCGCAAATGGAAAGCAATTTTCCTGTAGGATACGTGCAATTAACGTACTAACCACCATGTCACTCTACTGCCACTAGAAGAGAATCGTTTCATTGGTTTTACTCATCCCAAATTTCATAGAGATATCTCTATCATTCTCTTCATATACGCATAAACATGTGTGTACGTATGTATATATGTATGAATGTACGAATTTATATACATGTTAAACTTGTATTATCTTTATAATTTATATGTTGCTGAATTGATCATTGATGTTAGTTCTCTAATGTGAAATCTGTGAATATGTTTGTATGAATATATGTGCATATGTGCAATTTGTATTCTATTCCATTTCGTTTCACATATTATAGAATTATTCATATAGGTGTTAACTTTTAAATGAGAAATATATGTGAAATCTGTGCGAATGTGTTTGAACATATATGAAAACTTGTATTTCATCCCCTTTGTGTCTCTATTTGATTCATACATTGTAAAATTATTCGTTCATGTGTTAACTTCCAAATAGTAAAATCTTTGAATATGTTTGTACATACGTGAAACTCATATTTTATCCTTGTCTCTATTACTCTGATTTATACATTGTAAAATTATTCATTGGTGTTAACTTTGAAATACTAAAATCTGTGAACACGTATGTATGTGTGTGTGTCTGTGTATGTGCATATGTGAAATTTGTATTCTCTTTCTCTTTTATGCATTATACTAATAGAATCAAACTAATCGAACGATCTAATTAAACGAAGGATGCAACCAACGTTCCATTCGATTACGAGCGTTTTAAATTTATTAAGGATACGTGTGTCTCTAATGCATGAAAGACAATCAAAACGTTTTTATGCATATACATTTTCTCGAATGAAGATAGGCAAAAAAGAAAAGAAAAAAAGTAGAGAAAGAGGAAGAGAACTTCTAGCAACGGCCATTACACCGAGCTGGCTTTTCACGAAGATCGGAATCAACGAAAATAGACGAGGCTTTGGGAGCTGCTGCTACTGCTCGTTTGGAAACGAGCCAGTGACGTGGCGTCGTTAGAAAAATTTTCTAACGCTAGACGGACTTTAGAGAAATGGCTCTTGATGGGTCATATTTTTTCTTCTTTCCTTCTTCTTCTTCTTCTTCCTCTTCTTCTTCTTCTTCATCGTTCGAATGATTACCATTACGAATAGCGAATTTCTCAACGAAACACGTACGCGTTTGGATTGCATAAAATTGCGAAGGAACAATGAAATCGTAATGATAGCTATAAAATAAAAAAAAAAAATAGAAAGAAAATAACAGAAAAAAATATAAAATAGTCAATAATCGTCGATACGTTTCAAGTAACGAGAAATACAAATATTTCATTATTTGAATTTATTGTCATTGTGTTTTTATTTTTATAGGAATCAATCGACGAATATTCAAAATTAATTTAAAATTAATTCAAAATTAATTTAAAATTAATTTAAAATTAATTTAAAATTAATTAAAAAATAATTAAAGGCTTTTTTAAGTATATGTATTTTAACTCTGTGTGTGTGTGTATATATATATATATGTGTATTAGCGTAGATTGGAAATTGGAATCGAAGTATCTTTAAAATATTAAATCATCTCGTTTTTCTCCTTAATCGATAATTATAGTTCCAAGGCGATAGATTGAACTAATAAAACGTAACACATACAAACACAAACACAAACGCACACACCCATACGTACACACGATAATCTTGTTCTTTTGCGGTCTTGCAATTTGGGAAAGAAATTATCGTAGCTAGAATTGATAAAAGGCAAACACTGAGTTTAAGAGAGTTGTGATAACCACGAACGTAAAAAAAATACAAAAAGAAAGAGAGAGAGAGGTGTTTCGAAGCAAAGCAGTGGTTTTCATTGTGAGCGTATAAAATTAAAAAAAGAAAAAAACATAATCACGGTTGATTACTCAAAAAACGTGACGTCAGTAGAAAGAAAAGATACATACATAAATCACAATAGTTTTTTTTATACACAATCGTAGTTTTATTTGAAGTAGAAATAGATAAAATAAAACAAAAAATAAAAAAAATAAACGTAGACGAGATTACGTATATATAATTCGTCGTAACCGAAACGAAAAGCTAATTTGAAACTTCAGTGAAATTTTATGCGCTTTCTTTGAAAACTAAGCAACGTAATGGCCGACATAGTAATAGATAACGTTAGGCGTGTTGGTTGTTCGACTTTTAGAAACGAACAAATCCGAATATTTTACGTTGCTTTTCAAACTAACTCATATGTTTTATACGTGTATGTACGTGTAAGTTTACAATGTGTATGCACGTTTATGTATATGTATGTACGTATGTTGATTTTATATGTGTGTATGTTTAGAATGACGTTCTCTATCGTATTCTCTGTACGTACTACTATTCTCAGTTGATCCAGTTAGTGCAGTTAGTCAACTTGATTCGAATTCCATTAAAACGTAGTTACAGAAAAGTGGTAAATGTTAACGAGCCGATAACGGTAACAAATTACCAACTACCTTTTCCTTCTTTCTCATTCTCTCTCCTTTCTCTCTATATCTGTCTCTTTTATCGAGTATTTCAAAAGCTTTCGAACAATTCAATTTTGGTCTCTTTGAATCAGTGTGTCTCGATTTCTGTCGATCTTGTACAATTAAAATACACCATTAATTGTTTAAATTGATTGATCGATTAACGTTTCAATCCTGACAAGATATTTTTCTACAAATTTTTTTATTACAGTTAAAGAAGAAAAAAGAAATAGTTTTAGATTAGGTAAACTTAAATAATTCATTTTCTTTCGTAAGAGTTTTTTTCTCTTATTTTTCTCATCTAATATTTAAAAAGCATTCGAGAACAAATTCGATTTCGATCATTGTATCGGTGATTCGATTGACATTTCTGTCGATTTTCTACAAAATTAAAATTAACGATTCATTGTTTAAATTGATTGGTGAATTTAAAAAATTCTTAGACTCTTGTTTCTTATTCTTTTTTTTTTAGAGAAGTAGAATTTAATTCCTTTAAAACTTTAGAGTTAAGTTTTAATTTTAGCAAGAAAGTAAAATAAAAAAAAAATAATAAAAAACAAAAACAAAAAGTTAGTTTTACAAAAAACCTTAGGTAATTTCTTTTCTTTCGTAAAAGTCGACCTGAAAATCCCGTTTAAAACTTTAATCTTCCAGTTTATTTATAGTCTCGTAATACAGACATACAGAAAACTTGTACGAGTATTAAAGAAGAAGAAGAAGAAGAAGAAGAAGAAGAAGAAGAAAAAGAAAAAAGAAAAAGAAAGAGAGAAAAAAAGAGCGAGTTGTCCCATTTTTTTCATGGGAAAGTAAATAACGAATAAAAGTGAAAAATTTTGTAAATCATTGTCAATGGAAAACAAAAATAAATAATAATAAAATCAAAAAGTAAATAAAAAAGGGTTACAAAATCTGTATATTCAATAGTATATGCAATACACGCACACTCTTTCATACGCACGTACAAACTTATAGTAAATACGTTTAACATACACACAGACAGACAGAGGACAAACGAATATCATGGTAACCACATATTCCTAGGTGACAAACAAGTTTCACGATACAAATTGGCTTGTCGTCTCTATCATTCGTGAAGAAAAAGTAAAAAAAAGAAATAGCAAGATAGGGATATTAGAAATAGGTAATATAAGTAATATAAATAATATAAATAATATAAATAAAATAATATAAATAAATACAAAAAAAAAACAAAGAGTAAGATATAATATGACAAAAAGAAAAAGGGATATAAAATAATTATATTCAATTAACCAAAACTCACATATTTGTTCCTCCCATCTTCCAGTTCCATCTCCAAAAAATGCATGTAACAATAGAATAAGACAGAAAATATTCCAACTTCGATGTTCCACTTCTATCTTCTAGCTTTTCCTTTTCTTTTACCTTTACACGTAATTAAGTACATTCGAAAATACGAACAAAATCAAAATCAAAATCAAAATGAAATTGGACTCGTATCAACTGACCCTTATAAACTACCCCTACCCCATACCCCTCTCTCTATCTCTCTCACTCATTTACTATATTAACAAACAAAAAAATAAGAAACAAATGGTGATTTAAAAATATATCATGAAACGGTAAATGAATGATTGAATGAATGAATGAATATAAATGAGAATGAACGTGACTAATTGTAAAAGAGAACAAGAAAAAAAAGTAAGCAGGAAAGAGAGAGAGAGAGAGAGATATAAAGAAGGGACACACCTGGATAGTAATAAAAATGAATAATTCGAAGGTAGCACACGGAGTTTGACAAATGTCGTTGACGACGACGACGGCGACGTGTCTTTGACGATGTTGAGAACTGTCAACCACTTCTATCGTATAGGGACGACTGGCTGGCAAACGAACGAGAACTGAGTAGACCGGCCGATCGCTCGCATATCTCTC